AGATTGTCTCCCCAAGTTGGACAGTGTAATTCTCCCTCTTGGGGATCAAATTTATAACCTGGGAATCCCAGATTGTGGCCATGACCAGGACAACTTTTAACCAACTGAGGCAACTGAGGAGTTGCAACTCTACTTATGGGGTGGATGGGTTGAGGATGTTGGTACATGTGCTAACGATCTTAAAGATCAATTACTGTAACACTGTCTGTGTGGGGCGTCCTTGAGGCTGACCTGGAAATTGCAGCAAGTGCAGAACGTGGCAGCCATCCTGGTGTTGAGTTTAAGCAAGTGTAATCATATCTCCCCAATCCTGGCTCACCTGCACTGCCTACCTGTACTGTTCCAGGCCAGGTTCAAGATTTTGGTTCTTACCTGCAAGGCCCATCACAGTTTGGGACCTCAGTACTTATTGGAACCCATTCCCCTAAGAACATAACCCATAACAGTTGATCCATGCGGGTTGCCACTCTGAGAGAGGCAAGAAAGACATGCACAAGAAAGCGGGCCTTCTTGGTTGTGGCACCATCCCTATGGATTGGGCTCCTGGTGGAACTGCACTCAGCCCTCTCCTTCCCTGCCTTTAAGAAGATGTTATAAACTAGGCTGTTTGAAGAAGCCTTTGGGGCATCCTCAGTTAAGTGCTTTTAAAATTATTTTTGCCACTACCTTGCCATTTTTTGGGTTTGCTCAGTTTTATGACTAGTTGTATTGTGTGGGTTTTTTTGATTTCTCAATTATTTTCTTTTTATTTGATGATTGATGCCTTTTGGTTTTTATAGTACATTAATTGTTTCCTTTGATGTAAACTGCTCAGAATCATGCTCAACACTGATCAGGAGGTACACAAGTTAAATAAATAAATAACTAAATAAATAAATAAATAAATAAATAAATAAGAAAGCCTATACAGATTACTAATTAATTGTGCTTCTACCATTTTGTGTTGAACCATGCTACATCTATCCTACTCCTGCTCTACAGTGAAAGCAATAGGAGAGAGTTTTTTTTAAAGCAGGAAGGCGCAGAGAGGTGGTAAATCAGATAAGCCGTGAAACTAGAAGTGACAAATGATGGACGTCATAGGATTTACAGTTCCCACCAATAATATTAACTGTAACTGTTGGGAAAACAAAACCCTGTTAAATAAAGGTAAAACATACAGTAAATATTTAAGTTTCAGCATTTTTATTGACCCTTTGGTTGCATTTTAATGTAAATTCTACTTGTCAGCAAGACCTGTGCATCATTTTGACTTGGTAAATGAAATTCTTTTAGAGTTCCCCCTGTCCGAAATAATGGATTGCTTCCCCAGTTAATTGTATTGCTTTGATAACAAGGAAGTATATTGGGCCCAGAGAACACAGTAAGTGAATTTCATTGGATGATTTGTGTGACATTTTGAAATATGATCTTGTGGAGTGACCTGATTTTAATGGAACTGTAACAGCATGCCAGGATGCTGTGTAAGACTGGAAAGACAGAGTTTGTACTGAATATACATATTATAAAGAGTATGATGAGCAAGAGCACTTTGCTGAGCCTATTTCAGAGAAAGAAAATTTGGGGAAAGTCCTTTTGACTCAACATTTTTCATTGCTTGAAGAGTCCTGTCTCTAGTGTAGGTAATTTCCATGACCACCATTTAATTTAACCCTCAAGATTCAAGCCTCAAACCAATGGCAAGTTCTAATAAGAGCTGACTCCAGAATAAATGAGTGTTACTCATGTGTCAATTTTCCACTCAGCTATTGATTCAATGGGTCTACTTTATTTGGGGCTAGCAATTGAATTTATGACTCAGTAACAGTTGTGGTAAAGTGGTGACATTAAGAAGACTCTTGCATCTAGAAGGCAAGCTTTAGTAGTTCATTTACTACGACTAAATTCATTCATAGGGTGGCCTGCTCTTTGGACTGCTTATAGACACAAAAATCATGGGAAATGCTGTATGACTATCTGCCAGCCATATATGGCTTCCTAAGATAATTTTGGATCCTCCACGGTCCCCCTCAAAATGTGACCAAAGGTTGCTGGCATTCTGTTTCTTTAAAGCTTGTTGTGATACCAGGGAACCCCCTTTCAAACAAGTACTTCCTGAGGGGGTCTCATGGCACATTAGTAATACTACAGTACTGCAGTGAAGACTCTGCTCACAAGTTTGATTCCAGGATCAGGTAGCCAGCTTGAGGTTGACTCAGCCTGCCATTCTTCCAAGATCAGTAAACTGAATACCCAGCAATCTGGGGCAATGTGTATCCTGTATAATGAAATTGTAAATTGCCCAGAGAGTTCCTTAAGCACTATGGGGAGGTATATAAACAGCACACTTGGGTTTTTTTAAAAGGCTTTTTGCAGATGGTTGCTGATATCTGGTGACACAACTTGGTACTGAATTTTGGCAGTGAGGCAGCAGGAGTGGCTCGCAATGGAAAAGTTTTGGATTGGCTTCTAGATCTGCCAGAGCTGCCTATCCCTGCTCTATGCATCTGTGCTAGAAGCACATTGACACTGGTGGAAATCCAAATGCAAGTTTGGTGTAGGAGCAACCGTGATAGCCTTGCGCAAGAGTCCCAAGCACCTGGTCTTTATTATTAGAACTGACCATAAGAATGGATGTCTATGAAACAGAGCTGAAGCTATTATCATGGGAAATCAGTCTAAGGCTACAATCATGCACTGGAATAAAAGAATGTTTCTAAAGCAATGGGAAAGGCAGAAGTTAGGAATCAACAGGGGTTGAGTCACAACAAGAAGTAAGAAAGGGAAATATAGAAGCCTGTATTCATATAAAATTACAATATTTCTCAGAACAGGATCTAAACAGAAAGATATGTTTTTGAGAGACCTCTAACCATCACTGGATCAGTCTTGCGTTCAAGAGCTTTTGTTCACTTGTGTTGGGCTTCACATACCTACCGTTCCTGATATTCATTCTTGAGATACTTTGTACAGAGTTCTTTCATAGCTTGAAAATCTGGAGGCTAGGTCTGTGGTGTGGGTTCTTTTTTCTTTAAAATCCCCTTGCATTCTGAAGACATTTTAACACATTAATTCATCTATGTTTATATTGAAATAAGATTCAGTAAGTGCAGTGGGGCTTACATTCTAAAGTACTAGAAGTGTAGTATTAATGCATGACAATGTAACCGTTATATGCCAAGTCCAATAGTCCAACGATATGTGCTGAGGACCGGCTCATTTGGATCTTCACTTGGAGGGTTCAGAGGAGGTACTTTGTTGCTTATATGGTCAAGCAGCCAGCCGCAGCCAAGCAGGGGTGGGCAACTATAATGTAGGAAAGGATTCTTAAATGCCTGCCTGCAAATGAATCGCATACTTTTCAAGAGACTCAATTGATCTTATTTGGGACGAGAAAATATATGGTAAGGTTAACTGACCATTACATGAAACATACACAGTTTGGCAATTACACCTATAAGGGGAAGAGCTGGAGAATGGTACACAGAGGAAATGAGTAATCCTTCACTCTCCCCCATGCAGCCACTATCTGTCATAAGAAGGCATCTCTAATTTATTTATTTATTTATTTATTTATTGGACTTATATACCGCCCCTTGTCATAAGAAGGCATCTCTAATTCTTGCCAGTGTCACCTGTACTCTGTGCCAAACAACAGCTTATGGTGGGGGGTGAGAATTTTCATTGGACCACTGAAGACGGTCACAGGAGGAAAGTTCACCACTTTCCTCATGTGACATGCTCCCGATGCAGGATTACCTCCTCACCCCACCCCAACACAGAGGTAACTATTTAATGTTGACTAAACAAGTATGTCCAAATGACACATGTAGCCTAACTTGCAGATTGATCTGGGGAAGTGAACTTCAGGGAGGAATTTATACATAGCACTTAAAGCACTCTCTAGGTGGTTCACAAGTTAATTATGCAGGCTACAACTTGCCTTCCTGCCCGCAAGAGCTGGGTACTCATTTTACTGACCATAGAAGGCTGAGTCAACCTTGAGCCGGCTACCTGGGACTGAACCCTGGGTTGTGAGCACAGTTTTGGCTGCAGTACAGCAGTTTAACCACTGCGCCGTGAGGGAAAGCATCATTACTCTGAAAAGCAAACTCGAAAGTAATATATTTTTGCCGCGAGGGGAAGCATCATTACTCTGAAAAGCAAACTCGAAAGTAATGTATTTTGGCCCTATTTTTGAACAAGGTGATCTACTCTGTGGTACCTGGAAGAGCATATGCTTAAAGGGCAAGTTGGTTCCAAACTTTTAAGCATTTCCATCTGAGAAATAGTTGGGTGATAGCTCAGTGGTTTAGGATTCATGCTGCAGAGCCAGAGACCGGGAGTTTGATAATCTCAGACTGCCTCCAGAAGAAGGTAATGGTAAACCACTTCTTGTCTTCCAGAAAATCCTAGAAAGGGTCACTATAAATCAGAATTTACTTGAGAGCACATAAAACATCTGAGAAATAGCAATCATATATGAAGTACATGGGGGGGAGGGAGTGTTGACAAACATTGTTTGCACATATTGGTTTTTGCCATTTCTGTGTTAATTGTTGCTATGCAGAAAGAACTTTCATGTGAGAAGGTCTGTATGTTCATGGATATGTGTAGTTTTTAGAACATTCTCATGGGAGCTTGGATGCATTTCTTTTTTAGCTTCCAGAATCTCCAGCTAGCATGGCTAGTGGCCATGTTGGCTGTGGGATCCTGGGAAATTGTATTCAAGAAAGAGAGTGAGGGGACTTTTCAGCGTTCTGGCCATCCTCTCCTTTTCTTTCAGGTTGAAGAGCAAACTCTGATGATATTGCTTGCACACTAGTTTCTTAGCTAAAGAATCTGAGTGGAGTTAGGAACTCTTCTCACACAAACAAAAAGCTGTACTAGAAAAAAAGTTAATAATTTTTTTAAAAAAACCACCAAATATGGTGGCCGTGAAAGCAAGATAAAGTGGTAGAAACATCTGCTGAAAGTGGGATGTTAAATTTTTCTTCTTCTCTTGTTTTTATACCTTCCAGGATTGGCGATTGCAAGTGCATTGATAGACATTTCACAACAGAAGCCCTCAGAGTGTAAAGATAAGAGTCTGGGAGTCAGAAATCGAAAACATCACCTTTCAACACGCCAAGGGACTTGCGTTTGAAATTAAGACATGGCATTTGTATACTCTGTATTTTTTTTTCTTTTTAAAAGAGCTTCTGTTGTAAGCTAAACTATAGCCTCAGTTTTTATGGAGGCAACCTCTGGATGGTGGTAAGGGTGATGGTAAGAAGTACTGAGCCCGGGTGGATTGACACCTTCTTCCTGGTGTGCCCCCAAAGCAGGGCATCTGGAAGAGCAGACATGAAAATACTGGATGAATGTTAGGAAAAGATTCTGGTACCAGTCATGATATGAAAAACATTTCTCCATACTTCTTGTTATCCATATCAGGAGGGTAAAAACCTTGGAAGAGACTGTACATTGTTTTATAATGTGGAAAGAAATATATCATTGAAAATTAAATTCTAAATAACTTGTTATATAGCTAGAAGCGATGGGATATTCAGTTTCTTGGCTTGATCAGCATTAAGAAACATGCATATAAAGAAAACATGAACTGGCATTCTTAGGGATATAAATATTATTCACATTGCCCAGATATGCTGGCAGAATTTAAACTGAGTGGTAGGCGGCTATAAACATTTTAACGAGGCAAAAATAACAAAAACAAGCCATGTATATTCCAAGGAATAGAAATCTGGATTTATGCCTATCAGTGATTTCTGCCTTACAAAGGACCCTACAACAGCCCAGACTGAAGCAGGATCTAGAGTGGACATTAATACTCTTACTTTGTGAGAATTCAACATTGGGGGTGGGGGGTATAGGAAAGAATGCATGTCTGTCTTCCATGCCAACCAACTTGACTTGTTGTCAGAGGTGACTCAGCGTGGAAAAGCCTGTTCAGCAGCCAAGATAATTTTTTTGCATCACCTATCTCCAGAATTACAAGACTTTTTATTCCTGTGCAGTAGGATGCTCTACTGTGTCTCATCAGTGTAATATTGAAGGACAAAGTTAAATGTAGATTTAAGCATACTGAAGACTTTTGATTTCAGTAGACCTAAATGCACTTGAGTTTCCGGCGAACTGTAGCCTCAGTCTCCGATGTTGAAATTATTGCAGAAGAATGATCTCTTTATCCCATCCTCTTCCTACGGTAGAATCAAAAGTTCCTAACTTTCAACCCATGTTTTTAAAAAATCACTGCAACGTAAAGCATAAATCCCTCACCCTCCATACCTGTAGGCAGTTTTATTGTTCTTAGAATGATTCTTCTGTGTTGGAGGGTCCCCCAACAACCGTACACCAGCCAAAAACTAAATAGAAATCATTGGCCAGAATCCCGCTGGTGATTTATGTGTGTGTTAGTTCAATTGTATAACTTGCTGCAGGGAGCTGCCACTAATGAACTAGGTATTGGTCATGTTATGAGGTGTGCACACTATAGCGCAACAGGCACACACTTAGTAATGTCACTAGTCCTCATTAGTTAATGGGACTTCACTGTGGTGACTTAGGACATTGAACTTACGCATGGCCATTGTCTAAAAGAATGAAAGTATAAGTTATCAAGTACATCCTCCTACATCCTTGCTTTTTCTTATTGTTGCAAAGGATTGTTATCCCTGTGACAGCTTTCTGTTTGTGCAAGGGACTCCTCCTATTTGCAGGAGGAGGAATCTGCAGCTTTAATCCACACAATCTAGGAGAAGCAACTATCATGAGATAGGAAGGTTGCCAATTCTCCTTTGTCCCTTCATGTCACTTCTCATGCTGCTCTTAGAGGACCTTGGCCCTCCAGAAACAGCCCTCTGAACATGAAAATGACACCACTCAGGGATCTCTGGATCCAGCCCATTATATTTAATGGGAATGCCTCTTGCAAAAGATGGCAGCAAGTTAAGTACAGTGGTATTATGGCTGCATGTCCATGGCACATGAAATACATTTAAGTGAGATCAAGTCAGACCACTTAAGTTTCAACTATTGTATTCAGTTTCATTAACTTCTGTTGGACATCCAATTTGAGGAGGAGGTGGATTGCACGTTTAATTGGTTATAGAAAATTAAACAACCCAGTAATCTTACTATAACTTCCTGGAAAGCGCAGAATAGCAGCTTTTAGTTTGCTGTGTTCCCAATATGGGAGATATCCACAGAGGTATAACCTTTGATAAACTCTGTACAAATATAATTGATGTTTACTATTATACCCACATTTTTACTTTAATTTTATTTCAGGAAGGGGAAGACATTTCACTGTTTACACTTTGACTACATAGTTATTTGCATGCCAAGGTGGTACAGTAGCAGTAATAATGCCCTGTTTGTGAGTTGGTAGTGTTTCTTTTGTACTATCATTTGACTGCTTAATTTGGATGAGGACTGAATGTAGAAATAAGGAAATACATTAAAAGGAACTGCTGTACAGTACATAGTTCCTTCTCATCCAAGATCATTAGGCTATATTTTATCCTGATTGCTCAACAATTTGGATTAGTTGCACATTGATAAATTATGCTGGCATGATTTTTGGGATATTCTCATGTCTCAAAGGGGACTAGTTCTTATGCTAAAGTTATGTTGTCACAATGTGATGATTTTTGTTGACTGTTCTTACCTCATTTTGTTATTATTCTGTTTATAATAATATGCTCAAGTGGGCAACTTGAGCATCCCATCCTCAGATCACTTCTTTAAAATAAAAAGGCTCAAAAACCCCTACTGTGGGGGGCAATGATGCCATGTTTTGTGAATCCCCCTACATTCCTCTCCTCCCCCCTCCCCAATTTATAATTGAAAATGAAAACCAGTTTGGGCCACTAGCAGATGCAAGGGGCTTTTTTAAATAAACCCCTAATTTTGTATGGAAGTATTTGAGGGGCAAGGGGGTACACATGCAGTCCTGCAAGATCCGGGAGTGGATATGTGCAGCTCCCTAAACCTCTGGAACTTGTCCATTCCTATTCTAAAGCAAAGGGCTCCATTCTCTAAGGACTTGCATGCTAGGAAATCAATCCAAGTGACCCAATTTATGGCATTTTGTTTTGTTTTTTCAGAATTTACATGGGGGAGGAGGGATGCCTATTGAAAATTATCAGTTAATGAGCAGATTAATGATCTTTTGTGACTTCAATAAAGGTCAGTTTTGGTTTGTTTGGGTTTTTTTTTTTTTTTGGCTTGTTTTGAAAACCCTTCTGTCATTGTAATGTTGGTTTGCTTTAAAATGTCATTAGAATTGGCATGTATGATGAATAAGATGATTATTTGAAGAAAGACAAAAGAGAAATAAAAGACTTGGCTGTAAAATTTCTTAATTTTTCCCAACACATTTAAGTTACATGCAAAACCCTTCTGTCATTGTAATGTTGGTTTGCTTTAAAATGTCATTAGAATTGGCATGTATGATGAATAAGATGATTATTTGAAGAAAGACAAAAGAGAAATAAAAGACTTGGCTGTAAAATTTCTTAATTTTTCCCAACACATTTAAGTTACATGTGTGACAAACCCAGACCTACTGGGATCTGCCACACTTTAACTAAGCTGCCACCAACCATTCCCTATAAGAAGTCACACAGACCAGGGATGGATTTTCAACAAATAAAAGAATAAGGTTTATTTAAAACAACACACAGGGAAAATAAAATGATCAGGTGAATAAGATATAGTAACGTGGCTTAGTTTCCCTCATACATACACACAGTTTGGTTCACACAGAACCCTTAACTTGAAGCACAGACCCTGAACCTATCAGTTCTGGCTAACCAACAGACACCTGAACCTATCAGGTTGGTACTCTGACACACAGTAGTACCCTGTCTGACACACAGACTCCCACACCAGCTTCTTCTTCCCAGCTGCTGCTTCGTCACATCCCAGCGTCTCCTCTTCTCCACACACGCATCACATATATATACAGTACAGCCCCTCCTCCTGATGTCCCGCCTTCCACTCCCCATAGGATGGAACTTTCCCTCCAAACCCATGACAGACAGGTAACATCAGTGCTGTATGTAACACCTCCCCTCTTTATAAGTTGTTTTGTAGGGGGAAAGCTAAGGTGCTTTTTCCCAAAAAACAACCTGGATAAAACACACAACAACAGTTATACATACCATATCATACTTACTTATACTTACATTCTAAGTTAACCATAGCAATTAGGCATTTAAACATTTACCATATACATTACATCAAGTTACCTTTATTCATACAAACCAACATGTTTAATAAACAGACACATTTGACTTTTTGTCATCAAAATATATACATAGTCCATGTTTTTTCGCCGTCTTCATTCTTCAGGTCTTCTTGACAAGGCGTCAGCAACACAGTTCACTGACCCTCTGACCACCTTCACTTCAAAGTCATAGTCCTGTAGGTTTAAAGCCCACCTCATAAGTTTGCTATTGTGGGTTTTCATTGTCTTTAACCATTGCAGTGGTGAATGGTCAGTGCACAGAACAAAATGTCTTCCCCAGATGTAAGGCTTGGCCTTCTGGATCGCGTAGACTATGGCCAAACACTCCTTCTCCACGGTTGCCAAATGTCTCTCACCTTTTTGAAGTTTCCTACTCAGGTAGGACACTGGATGCTGGTCACCATTCTCACCCTCCTGGCACAGAACTGCTCCTACCCCGCTGTTAGACGCATCGGTGTAGATGATGAACTCCCGGTCAAAGTCTGGAGCACGCAGGACAGGATAGTTGATTAACGCCTCCTTCAACCTCTGGAACGCCGCCTCACAGTCGCTGGTCCACGGGATGCGGTCATCAGCCTTCTTACACAGGGAAAATAAAATGATCAGGTGAATAAGATATAGTAACGTGGCTTAGTTTCCCTCATACATACACACAGTTTGGTTCACACAGAACCCTTAACTTGAAGCACAGACCCTGAACCTATCAGTTCTGGCTAACCAACAGACACCTGAACCTATCAGGTTGGTACTCTGACACACAGTAGTACCCTGTCTGACACACAGACTCCCACACCAGCTTCTTCTTCCCAGCTGCTGCTTCGTCAAAACCCTTCTGTCATTGTAATGTTGGTTTGCTTTAAAATGTCATTAGAATTGGCATGTATGATGAATAAGATGATTATTTGAAGAAAGACAAAAGAGAAATAAAAGACTTGGCTGTAAAATTTCTTAATTTTTCCCAACACATTTAAGTTACATGCCCATTGCATATTTTGCTATTGCATTTCATATTTTCAGAGGCAAGGAATGGTATTCAGAGAAAGAGTAACTGTGACTTAAATGTTTAAGTATGTTTAATTTCAAAGGAATTATACTGTTGATAGCAACACTTCAGCACAATAGAGTTGACAGTTAAAACCATAGTAAAAATGTTGAGACATCCATTACTGGTTTTTTTATCATTGTTTTGACATGCATTCGTATTTTAAGTGGTTCAGTTATGAAGTGTGATCAGAGTCGCTCATGAAAGGCACTCCTCAACCACACATCAGGCTGAGTTCACACATTGCTTTAAACAACTTTATTTCTTCTTTTTATTTCATTTATGTCCTGCGTTTCCTCTAGAGAGGCATCAATAACTCTGTGAGATATTTAGTTACTGTGATGTGCTGTCAAGTAAAAGTAAAGGTAAAGGTTCCCCTTGACAATTTTTGTCCAGTCGTGCTCGACTCTAGGGGGCGGTGCTCATCCCCGTTTCCAAGCCATAGAGCCAGCGTTTTGTCCGAAGACAATCTTCCGTGGTCACATGGCCAGTGCGACTTAGACACGGAATGCTGTTACCTTCCCACCGAGGTGGTCCCTGTTAATCTACTTGCATTTGCATGCTTTCGAACCGCTAGGTTGGCGGGAGCTGGGACAAGCAACGGGAGCTCACTCCGTCGCGTGGATTCGATCTTACGACTGCTTGGTCTTCTGACCCTGCAGCACAGGCTTCTGCAGTTTAGCCCTCAGCGCCACCACGTCCCTTCGCAGCGCCACCACGTCCCTGTCAAGTAATCTCCAACTTATAGCAACCTTATGAATAGTTGGCCTCCAAAATGTCCTGTGATTAGCTGCCCTGCTCAGCTGCTGAAAACTCAAAGCTGTACCTGTAGCTTCCTTTACTGAGTCAAGCCATCGCATATTTGAACTTACTTTTTTCTTGCTGCCTTCAATTTTGCCTACCATTATTGTCTTTTCTAGTGAGTCTTCTTTTCTCATGATTTACCAAAAGTAAAACAGCTTCAGTTTTGTCATTATTGCTTCTGGAGACACTTCATGCTTGATTTGATTTAGGACCTGTATGTTCATCCTTCTGACATGCCATGGATTCCACAAAGCTCTCCCTCAGCACCTAGTTTCAAATAGTTTTATCTTTTTTCTAGAGGATTTATTCACTTTCTAGCTTTTACACCCCTGCTTAGCAATTGAGAATACAATAGTGTGGCCTTAGTCTCCAGTGACACAGCCTTATACTTGAGGTTTTTTTTCCTAGTTCCTGTACAGCTGCTTTTCCAGGTCTCAGTCTTCCAATTTCTTTGCTGTACTCTCAATTTGGACTGATGATTGAACCAAGGCATGCAAAATCTTTTGCAATTTCAGTTTCTTCATTGTGAACATTAAAGTTATGTAGCTCTTCATGATTTTTGTCGTCTTAATATTCCACCGAAGTTCTACTTTTAAACTTCATTCTTACATCTTCATCAAGAGTCATTTTCACATCTTTGCCACTTTTTGCCAGTAATATGGTGTGATCTGCATATCTTAAATTATTGATATTTCTTCCACCAATTTTCACTTCTCTTTCATCTGAATTTAATTCAGTTTTCCAAGTTCTTCATATGCAAAGGCTGAATTACTGGAGAGATAAAATATCTGCCATCTTTGTCCATGGGGAAACATGATGTTTCTCCTCTTTCTGTCCTAATAATAGCTTATTTTCCATAGTATAGGTTATGCAACAGGAGAATCAAATACTGACACACCCAATTCTTTCAGAACAACCCAGTTTCTCATGATCCACACAGTCAAAGGTTTGCTGTAGCTTATAAGGCATACTAGACTGATCTTCTTCTGAAATTGTTTGTTCTTCATTATCCAGCAAATATTTGCGATATGATCTCAATTGCCTCTTCCTTTTCATAATCCATCTTAAAAATCAGGCATTTCTAGCTCCATGTATGGTAACAGTGTTTGTTGCAACCCTCTGAGCATCACTTTGCTTCCATGGGAAATTGACTTATAGTTTACTGCACTCCTTGGAATCTCCTTTTTGGGGGACTGGAATGTATGTACATTGAATATTTCTGGTCCGTAGGACATTGTTGTGTTTTCCATATTTTTGATATATTCTTGTTAGGATTTTGAGAGATTCAGTCTGTGTAGCTTTGAATATTTCTATCAGTGCCTACTCCTGGCAATGTATGTCTTCCAAGTGCTTTCACAATAGCTTCTTCTTTAAAAAAAAATTGCAAGTGCTTCATCACAGGATTCTTCTTCAAGGGCATCTGTCACTCTTTCATCTTTTTTGTACAGTTATTCAGTATATTGTTTCCACTTTTTTTAGTATATACTGGTCAGATAGTATGCTCTCCTATTGATCTTTCAGCATCCTTAATCTAAGTTTAAATTTCCCTCTGACTTCTTGGATCTTATGGAAGAAATCCCTTGTTTTTCCTTGTTTATTTACTATTTCTTTGAATTGATTACTGTAATGATTCTCTTTGTCTTTTCATGATAGCCACTGAAAAGCTTTAGAACTTTTGCCCTATTTCTGTCACTTTTGCTTCTCATCTGTGATCAACAGTTTTAAATGTTTCTTCAGCCTTCCATCTAAGCTTTTCTTTTCTTTTGACTAGTGTTCTTCATTCTTCCCTGATAATATCTATGCTTTCAATCCATGTTTCCTTTGGTTCATGATCAGATCAAGATGAGCTTGAACTCTTAGTACAGGAAGGCAAATATGATTAATAGCCATTACTGAAACCTGGTGGGATGAGAATCGTGATTATAGTGATAGAAAGGTACACTGTATCCAAAAGGAACAGATGAAATAGAAGGGGAGGAGGAACACTGGACAGAAGGGATGTGTTGAACTGTGAGGAGATCCATGTGTTGGAGCATGGAACACTGATGGAAAGCATCCAGGTAAACATCAAAGGAGAGAGAAATAACAGTGATATCACTTTGGGGGTCTACTATAGTCCTGCTAACTAGACTGTGGATCTTAATAATGCCCTTCTAGATTAGATGACCAAACACTCAGAGAAGACAAACATAGTAACTTTAACTTCCCTGATACCTGTTGGAAGTCCAGCTCTGCCAGAATTATAAGG